GAGAATGAGAAGTCAATTGTCCCTAATAAATACATATTGATTCCTACATCACATAGAAACTTCCATAACAAAATAAATTGCTATTCTCTGTTATCAAAGAAATAAAATAAGGTTACATCTTAGAAAAGAATATTTTAATATTCCTTATGTGATGTTCTTTATGTTAATAATCATATGTGTGTATACAATCCTGAAGCATATCTGATAATATTTCCAAATGTCCAAACATGACTTTGATATCAATCTATACAATTTTAAACACTCAAAAAACAGAACCACTCTCTGGAAGTTGTGATTGATCCATCACTTGGAATAATCAACCAAAAGAACTGTCCTGGACATGACATATGGGATTCTTGCACTCAGTGGGAGATTAGTTTCAATGACCTTGAAGTCCCTGTCTGATTTCTAGTTTACGGGAAGTATCACTAATAGAGAACAGCATATCGTTGGCAGGAGGAGATATTTGAAATAGCCCCATTAGATGTAAGAAGCTGGCAGCATGGCTCCTGGGAGACTTTTACATCATTATCTGATCAATTCCAAAGTGAACTATCAATACAATTTAAAAAGAACTAAAAAGGAGCCACCTAAAATAACAAGTATGAAACTCTATGATTGTTTTTTAAGCATTTAGAAATGACTAAAGTTACAAGTATTGAGTTCAAAATTCTTTTTTATTTTATTTTTTTGAGACTGAGTCTCACTCTGTAGCCAGGGCTGGAGTGCAGTGGTGTCATCATAGCTCACTGCAACCTCAAACTCCTGGGCTCAAGCGATCCTTCTGCCACAGCCTCCCAAGTAGCTGGGACTACAGGCTCATGCCACAAGGCCCAGCTAATTTTTTTTATTTGAAGTAGATATGGGCTTTTGCTGTTTCTCAGGCTGGTTTCGAATTCCTGAGCTCACGTAATCCTCCTGACTTGGCCTCCCAGAATGCTAGGATTATAGGCATTGAGCCACTGCATTCAGCCCAGTTCAAAATTCTTATTTTCATGTTAGGATAACTCTTTAAAACAGCTGATGAAGAATACTATGCAACAATAATCACTTGAAAATATTGTTAATAAACAATACCATGATAAATTTATATGATTCAAATCAAAATGCTAAGTATTTAAAAACAAACAAATAAACAAAAGACATCTCTTCAAATAAAATGCTGTATGTGTGGTGTATTCTTTTCTTTTTTTCTTTTTAGCAGCAAATATCATTTAAGTGCTGCTGTGGACTGAATGTTTATATTCCTGAAAAAATTCAGGTCATATGTTCAAATTCTAACCCCCAAAATGATGGCATTAGGATGTGGGGCCTTTTGGGAAGAGATTAGGTCATGAGGAAAGAACCCTCATGGATAGAATTAGTGACCTTATAAAATATGCCCAAAGAACACTGTGGAAGAAAATAGCAGAGGATATAAACAGATGGAAAAACATACCATGCTCATGGATTGGTAGAATCAATATTGTTAAAATGTCTATACTACCCAGAGTGATCTACAGATTCAATGCAATCCCTATTAAAATACCAACATCATTTTTCACAAATCTAGAAAAAATAATTCTATGCTTTGTATGGAACCAAAGAAGACCCCATATAGCAAAAGCAACCTTAAGTGAAAAGAACAAATTGGGAGGTATCAATTTATCAGACTTCGAGTTATACTACACGGCTATAGTAACCAAAACAGCATGGTACTGGCACAAGAACAGAGACATTGACCAACGGATAGAACAGAGAACCCAGATATAACACCATCCTCATATTGCCATCTGATCTTTCACAAAGCAGACAAAAACATACACTGGGGAAAAGAATCCTTATTCAATAAATGGTGCTGGGAAAATTGGATAGCCACATGCAGAAGACTGAAACAGGATCCACATCTCTCATCACTCACAAAAATCAACTCACAAAGGATACAGACTTAAACCTAAGGTATGAAACTATAAGAATTCTAGAAGAAAATGTTGGAAAAACTCTTACGGACATTGGCCTAGGCAAAGAATTTATGAAGAAGACCCACAAAGCAATCACAGCAACAACAAAAAGAAATGGGACCTGATAAAATTAAAAAGCTTCTGCATAGCAAGGAAACAATCATTAGAGCAAATATACAACCTATAGAATGGGAGAATATATTTGCATGCTATACATCCAATAAAGGGCTAATAACTAGGATCTATAAAGAAATCAAACAAATAAGCAAGAAAAAAATCAAACAACCCCATTAAAAAGTGGGTAAAAAACATGAACAGAAATTTTTCAAAAGAAGATAGACTAAAGACCAAAAAACATGAAAAAATGCTCAACATCTCTAATCATCAGTGAAGTGCAAATCAAAACCACAATGAGATATCACCTAAAGCCAGTGAAAATGGCTTTTATCAAAAGTCCAAAAACAACAAATGTTGGCGTGGATGCAGAGATAGGAACACACACTGCTGGTGGGACTGCAAAGTAGTACAACTTCTATGGAAAGCAGTATGGAGATACCTCAAAGAATTAAAAGAACTATCATTTGATCCAGCAATCCTACTACTGGGTATTCACACAAAGGAAAAAAAGACATTCTATAAAATAGACATCTGCACTGGAATGTTTATAGCAGCACAATTCACAATTGCAAAGATGTGGAAACAACCCAAGTGCCCATCAGTACATGAATAGAATAAAATGTGATACACACACACACACACACACACACACACACACACACACATACACACACACCATGGAGTATTACTCAGTAATAAAAAATGGTGAACTAATACCTCTTGTACTAACCTGATGGAGCTGGAAAGCATTCTTCTAAGTGAAGTGTCACAAGAATGGAAAAGCAAACACCACATGTACTCACCATTAAATTAGAACTAAATGATCAACACTTATGTGCACATATGGAAATAAAATTCATCAGAAATCAAGCAGGTGGGTGGAGAGGGGAAGAGGGGATGGGTAAATTCACACCTAATGGGTACAATGCACACTATGTGGGGGATGGGCACACTTATAACTTACTCAAACGGTACAAAAGCAATTTATGTAACCAAAATGTTTGTACCCCCATAATATTCCGAAATAAAAATAAATAAATAAATAAATAAATATAAAATACAATACAGAAAGGTAAAGCATCTATTATACAATTTATAGCTAGTATTTAAAGATGCCTACTTGTTTCAGGTAATATTCTAAATGCTTTGTATGTGTTAACTCATTTATTTAAACAATCCTTCTAATATTTATATTATCCCTCATTTTATAAAATTGGGAAAGTTGAGGAAAAGAGACCGTACTTGAGTATGACATAATAAGTCACAGCTAAGACATGCTGACTCATTTAGACTCCATTCCCCATTCCTGTGCTTTCTACCATTTCATCCTCCTCCAAAAATGATACCACTAGTATGTTGACATGCTGAATCCTTCTTATCTGCATTTCCTTATTAAGAATTAAAACTGATTAGATATAATCCTTCTTAACATACTTAACATTCTTCTATAAACATTTTCAAAGTTATTACATGGTCTTTGTAAACATTTCAATGATTATACTATACTCAAATAACTGGATGAGTCAATTAATGTAACTATTGCCATATCTTGGGGCAAAGAATTGTCTTTGAACTTTTATAATTAAAAAACAATGTTACTACAATAAACATAATTTTTGGTATAAATACATAAAAAAAAATATAGTCCCAAGGGAGCTCCTTTATTCTTCTTACTATGTGAGAATACACTGAAAATGTACCATCTATGAACCAGAAAGCAGGCCCCTACCAGACCTGAATTTGTCAGCACCTTGATCTTAGACTTCTCAGTCTCCAGAACTGTGAAAAATAAATTCCTGTAGTTTATAAGCTACTTAGTTTATGGTATTTTGTTTTAGCTGGCATAGACAACAGCAATGCTTATACAAAATGAAATCTTCTCCTTACAGACGAAACAAACAACTTTATTTACACCACCTCTATTTCCTATACCTGATTACCTTGTATCCTATCCTCATCACCAGAACACCCATAGGAGCTACCTGACTGGAGAGATTAAATACTAGAAGGCTTAACATTCTCCAGAATCCAGATCTGTTTGGTCATTTTCACACTATCAGTCTAGGGTTAGATCACGGCACCTCGGAGGAGTCCATTTTGATAGGGCTGGCCCCTCTGTTTGCCTAGAGTATAAACAGTGCCCAATTTCCATTTCTTCCAAACCAACATTCCCTCTCTCTTCTGCATCTCTCAGAACTAACCCCACACCAAAGCAGGTTTAGCAGGGAAGGGGGAAAACACAGATTATTCATATTGGCCACAAGTCAAAATTAAGTCAAAATTATTATCACTGTGATGGATCCAGAGTCCTCCCTGATCCTAGAAAAGGTATAAAAGGTGTGAATAACTCCCTGAATAACTTGCAAAGCACTGGACAGGTCCACAAATATTTCCCTTCTGTGTGTTCTCCACTTAAGTTTTATTGTTTTGGGGCTTGAATGATTTGAGGTCTTTAGGATCCCCTGTTAAAATGTTAATATTCCTAGCACAACAACTTGAGATTTCTAACACAAATATAAGTAAGGACACAAGGGCTGATCTGGAATTTGGTGCTTATGTCAGGCAAAAAAGTTCACAGAACCAAGCTATTAGCCTCAAAATATGATTTATTTCCTACCTTATTTCAGAGATATAATGTACTGAAAGCCTATTCCCAAAGGCAGAGTGTATTATCTACATGTACCATTCCCAAAAGACAAAAAAAAAAAAAAAAAAACCAAACACTAAACTGCAAGTATAAAAACTCATATGTGTATGGATTTTGTATAGTAAAAAACTAAGCACAATATAATAAACTCCAAAATTAAAGCACATAAGGAATGAAATGCTCTTTGAATTTTGACATGCTCAGTTATTGGGGAAAAGTGTTTTAAGAAATATTTTCTCCTGCAGGATCAGAACAGCATAATACATTTTTTAGTGAATACTAAATGATAAACTTACATCAGAATTAAATCTCAACTGGCAAATGTTGCATGATATGATTTGCTTTCTTCGATGGGGAAGAGGAACCCCGAATGTATGATTTATTACAGCTTTCTGAATTGGGTCCATCTGTAATGAGAAAAAAATACAACAAATAGAAATAAAACTTGTCAGTCCACTGGAATTTTGCCTGTTTCATTAAAGAACCAATCTTCACAGCTTCAATCTACTGCTCACATTACAAAGAACATTTTTATTCTAAGAAACAACATTTCTACTTTCTTGGAAAATAGATAACCAAAAGCTCAAATCTCAGTATGATAAGGAAATGATAAATGTACCCATTAGATTATACATTTAGGATCAACAATTGTCTCAGTTTAATAATCCTCAAATATAATTAAAGATTTATCAAAACTCAAGTTTTTGCTAATGCAAACAATTTAAGACAGAAATGTGTCTATTGCCCCTAAATGGACTCCAAAATAGACTTGTTCAGCTGGGAAGTCATCAAAATAAATTGTATACCATTATTCAACATCAACCTGATGCTATGTTTGGTATTTTTTAGACCCTAAAAATATAGTATACAAATCCTGCTTTCTATATGGAGCTGTTAATTAAGTCATTCAGCAATCATTTATTGACTACTTGGTATATACTGCTCTCCTATGGACATATTTTGGAAGGTACAAGGAGTTTGGGCCAGATGTCAGTTATCTATCTCCATCCTATCCCCAGGACAGGACTAGCAACAACAAAAACATAATGTCAGCAATTCAGTTCTGATATGGTTTAATATTCCCTCACCAAGTTTTGTCCGGTTGTTCACATCAGTGATTCTCAACTGTTAGAGTCAGATCAAACTTTTGATCTGCTTCTTAATTCTTATGGGAACTCTTTCACTATCTCTATCGATTTTTTAAAGTTGTGATGAGGTTTGAATGTGATAATTCACGAAATTTACTTAGCACAGTCAGTCTGGGCACATTAAAAAAATCAGTAGATACTGACTATTATCGTGTGTTCCTTATGGCAGCACACGTGAAGATCAAGGTTAACATGAGGTAAAAAAAGTTAACACTCCTCTAGTCATTGTTGGCACACTACCCATTTCTCTCATGATCAAAAAACATTTCTGAATGATTTAAATGTTCTGTATATAGCCATGACTTCTGCTGAATGCCTGCAAATTTAGGAATTTTTAACTCTTACCAGATACAAAATTCTTCTAAGACTCCTCACAATAGATTGAGATAACTCAGAAATGATTTGACACACACAGAAAAGCTCAGAATGTGTCAGAGAAACGATGCTCTCATATTCAGCTTCTGTGACATATTATATATAGGTCATTATTTCCCCTAAATAAGTCATTGATAAATTCCACTTCATACTATGTATTTCAAATCACTAGAACCACTCATAGGTTACCTCCACTGGAAGGTCAGAGAAAGCGTCTGTCTCCCTGTGTTCACAACTCCCATTAGGTTGTCTAGGCACTCTGAACAATAATAACAGCAACGATAAAAATACTAGCAATAAGCATTTATTAAATGCATTCTATGTGCTAACCACTCAGATAAGGTGCTTTACATATTTGATAGTTACAATGAACAAAAAGACCTCATGAGTGTAATCATTTTTATCTTCCACCTTCTTTTTAAGTTTTTTAACTGACATCAATTCTTATCCAGATTCTAGATGAAACTCAGGCTGTCCCTATAATTTTTCTGGTGACTTTTTGGTATTAGAAAAATTCCCTCCCCCCCTTACAAGTGAATTCTACCGTACTTTCTTTGTAATCAATTTTATTTAGGTATAATTTACACAGAGTAAAATTCACCAATGGTAAGTGTACAAGTTAATGAAATCTGACAAATGCATACAGTCATGATACTTATCATATAAAACATTTCCATTACCTGGAACAAGTTTCCTCCTGCCCCTCTGTGGTCAATCTCTGCCTCCTATCCCCAGCCCCTGGAACCACTGGTCTGCTTTCCGTCATTATATTTTTGCCTTTTCTCTAAGTTCATATATATGGTATCACAGAGAACGTGGTCTTTTGTGTCTGGCAACTTTCATTCAATACAATGCTTTTCAGATTCATCCAGGTTGTTATATGTATCAGTAGCTTGTTTCTTTTTATTGCTGAGTAGTATTCCTTTGTATGGATATACCGCAATATGTTTATCCATTGCCACTGGTGAGCATTTGAATTGTTTTCAGTAAATTCTATGATCTTTTCAAGTCTTAATAACAATCTAAGCACATGCCTAAATTCAGTTCAATTTCTTAATCCAAACATTAAAAATTAATTTAAAATTACAGTATCTCTTTTATTTTTAGCTTGGGGCTGCTATAGGATAGTAGTATGAAAGCTCACAGGGCCATGGTACAGGATTATTCTTGATATATACTGCCAAGTTCTCCACCCCAGTTCTGCTTCCAATCCTGCCTCACCCCTATTTCTTCAGAGCCAACATTAACAATGCACAGAGCTAAAGAAAGCCAATGGCCACACAACTGTGATCTGAGCTGGCTTTATAGCCCTCATTCTGCTCTCCAGGATCATTCCTTACCATTTTAAAAATGTCATCACAAAGCTTCTATAACAACAAGCACAGAGAACACTGGGGGATAATTTTCCCTACAGTCGCCAGCTGAAAGAAAAATTAACAGTAGAAAAAGGTCACTAACATAGAGGTAGTTCTCCCATCATGTTCTGTTCTGTGTGTTCTGTGCATAAATGGGGCCCATTTCTAGCAGGGGATAAAGTGAATGATCTCTATAACCCATCACGAAATATTTAATTCCTCTCATAATGATACTTCGAAATAAAAACGAATTGCATATTTATATCAAAGATGCTCTCTCAAAACATATACTGCTGAGTTTTTATCATATATTGGTGAGCAGGGTATTATTTTGGTCTTTTAGTAACACTGGGGAAGCAGGGAACACATTCAATCCAAATTTGTGTAGGAGGTGTTTTGGAACTAGATACTTCATGCAAATGTGACATAGTCTCTAGATTAAATTCTTTTGTGTGAATTGAATGATGTTATGATCACTATGGCTATAAAATCAGATTTCAAAATGCAAATTCTTCTTCCGAGACAATTTTATTTCCCAGAATACTTAAAAAAAACCCACTCGACTAAATTATATTTTTAAGGTGGTTTCACAAACTATAGGTATGCCACCAAAAGTAATTATATTTTATCATTTCAGGAATCT